GACGACGACGACGACGACGACGACGACGACGACGACGACGACGACGACGACGACGACAACGACGACGGACGACGACGACGACGACGACGACGATGACGACGGATGACGACGACGACGACGACGACGACGACGACGACGACGACGACGACGACAGCATACGAGTGCGGCGGCGGGCGACGACGACGGGAACCATGAGGAGGAGGAGGAGGAGGAGGAGGAGGAGGTGGAGGATTTGGGGGACTCTGTGGAGGATGGAGGAGGGGGGAGACAGGAAGGGGAGGGGGTCAGAAGGATGAGGGGAAGGTGGTGGTGGAGGACGAGATGGGGGAGAGAGGGGGGGAGGAAGGGGGAGACAAGGAGCGGCAGGTCGTCCAGGTCGCCCTGCTGCTCCTCATCAGCATTACTAGTTACGTTCTCCTCTGTTTCCCCCCTTCACAACCATCAACATCCTCTTGCTCCCGCATCCTCTCATGATCCTCCGCTTCTTCATCGTCCTCCTCCACACCATTCCTCATGTGGCTGTGAGCTCAGCCTCATCCTCCCATCCCGTCGCCTCTGCCTTTCCTTCCGACGGCCAAGGCAGCGACGACGAGCAATACAGTTGCGACACCCAAGTTCCGCAGCCAGCCGCCCCCGCGGCTGTCAAGCGCTGGCCCCTGCTCTCCCCACTCCGACACCACCATCTCCCCACCGCCCTGCCCGACCTCTCCACGCGATGCGTGGGATTCCTCGGGCGCATCGCACACGGACCCGCAGCGAGCAGCTCCACACGTTCGTGGCGCCCACATTGCACGCGCTTGTTGAGAGCGCATCACACGCACACACGGGGCGCGGCAGGCGCGGTGCTTCGCATCCCCCCGCCCACTGGGTGCAGCGACCCACTACGCTGCTTGTGAAATGGCGGCAGCAGCGGTGTCCACGCCCACGACTCCCCCGTGCAAAATGGCGCGGAGGCGGTGGCATCGTCAGACGCGCGGTTCCTTGCATACCCTCGACAGGTGGCGCGGCGCCCAGCATCCCATCGACGTTGTACCGTTGTACCCGCCAGAGCGACGGCGACTACGCACTCGGCCTCGCGTGAGCTGCGCGCGACGATGTCGCGCCCGTATCCGTGAGCGGTTACAGACTCTTTTGTTGTTGCCGTCGGCTTCTCGTCTATCCGACCGTAGTTTCAAGCGTCCCTCCCTTTGAGGGCGCATCGGTGTCCTTCCCGCCTTCCCCCCATCTTCTCTCATCATTGTGTCATCATCAAGGTGCCCTTCCACTTATCGTACCCCCTCCTCCCTCGATTCCTCGTCTTCCTCCCCATGCATGTCTATCGTCTGCGTAGTCCTATGTCACAATGTCTCGTTCTTACTTGTCCTTCGCCACTTCCTCGCCATCTTGCTACCCGTACTCCCGACCTTCGTGTGTTCTTCTTATTGTTCCTCCTCGACACTATGATTCTCCTCGACCGTCCACGCAAAGGATGAATTTGTCATTCCAGGAAGCAGGAGAAGCTCTCACCAACCCCCTCCCCGCGCCGCTCAGCTGTCTCCACCGAGAGAGCGGACATACAGATCAGAGAGAAGTCGTTCGCGGGAGAAGAACAAGAACAGAAAGCCTGGATGCGCACGGCCAGCGCCTGTCCGCGGTGGCCCGATGAGGTTTGCACGCAGTATTCACGGGGGCTCGGGAGTCTCGTAAAGGCTTCGGCAAAGTTCTACGGTTACCGAATAGGGCTTTAAGTTTCTGGAGTGCAAGCTTCTCAGGCTTTCGGCGTTTGCCGAATCTCGACTGGAGGTTACCAAGGGTTCCCAGACATTTCCAAGTCTGCAGATTTCCATCGGTGCTCCGAGGACAATCGGATGTTGGCTTACCTACGCGGCCACGCAGAAGGATCCGACCCGCCATTGCGTCTTCTGGCGCACCCCTGATCTGTTCATGCCTTTGGAGTTGCGTCACAGGTTGATTAAGATACCTCGGACCCGATCTACTGGCCAAAGCGAAATCTGAATCACAAGGTATGGATCGGAGGTGAGGGGGTGAGATCTTAGTGGGCCCCAGAAACAGCAGGGCCGTTGTTCACCGTTTCCGAAAAAGTGTCTCTTGAAAATGGACAGGGGAAAGAACAGGTGATCGGAAACGTCAAAAAACGGTTCCAGGATTGGAACCAGAGCCGGAACCGGTAAATAAGCGGCGACGGAACCGGTAACACAAATTGCGTCGGAACCGGCAAAAAGGCAGCAAAACGGAACCCGTAAAAAAACGTCCCTGTCGTTTCCAGGGCCCACTATGGTGAGATCGCAGTGAAAGGGAGAGCTCCCCACCGAGAAATGGGTTTTGGTTTCGAGCTCGTGTCGTGCGTGCGGGCTGGGCGAAGTTGCGTGGGCGGGCGACGAGAAGTGAGAACCCTCCTCTTGCGAGGGCGCCACCGAGCCAAAAGACCGCCCCTCCCCCGGGTTGTCCCGGCGGTGGCCCGGGATGTCCCGCGGGTGTCCCGCTGGTGCCTCGTCGGTGCCCCGTAAATGTCCCGTAGCGACAGTGAGATCGACAGTGAGATCGATAGTGAGAGCGACAGTTTGCTCGATAGTGAGATTGATATTGAGATCGATAGTCAGATCGACCGTAAAATCGACGGTGGGATCGATAGTGAGATCGAGAGTGAGATCGATAGTGTCATCGATAGTGTGATCAAGCGTTTGATCAATAGTGAGTGGGTTAGTGAGATCGAATGTGCGATCGATAGGGAGATCGATTGTTAGATCGACTGTGAGATCGATAGTGAGACCGATTGATTGAGACTTTGGTTCCTCTCTCACACACCTCCTTATCTCCCGAAGGGTGGTCCTATAGGTATGAGATACGGGTGATATTTTACCACCGCCGGGCCAGTCTCTATCGACGACGCCTACGGCGAATCACCACCGCCCCGTGCTTTTTACGATACGCCTATGTGGCCAAACGTTTGGACAAAGCTTGGCAACGCTATTGGACCAAGCGTTCTCCCACCCGTTGTGGAAGCCCTTCGGGGAACACGTGGGGGAGGAAGAGGAGGATGAGGAGAAGGATGAGGAGACCTCGCGGGAGCTTGGGTCATTCTTGAGGCCTCCTGGGAGCTTCTTGGGGGCCTCTTGGAGGCCTCGTGAGGGCCTTCCTGAGCCTCTTGGGTGCCTTTGGGGGCTTCTGGCGGGCCTCTTTGCCAGTCTTACGGCGTTCTTGGCCCGTCGGCAGCCGTCTTGGGAACCTCTCTGGGCCGTCTTGGGGCCTTCTTGGGGCGCGTCAGGGTCGTCTTGAGAGCCATCGTGGTCTTTTTGGAAGACTCTTGGGCCGTCTTGGGGCCTGAAGGGGCCCATCTTGGGAGCCTCTTGGACCGCCCTGGGCCATCTTGGAGGCCTCTTGGGCGATCTTGGGGCAATTTGGGGCCGTCTTGGGCCGTCGGAATGCCGTTCGGAATGCCGTTCTGAAGCAGATGCCAAAAGCCTTCAAAAACCAATGGAAGATCAATGATTTGGGCTTCTTCGGGCCTTCCTGCGGGACCTCTTGGAGGCCTCTGGGGCCGCATTAGGAGCCTTTTTGGGCGCTCCTTGGAGGCATCTTGGGACCGTCTTGGAGGCCATCTTGGCACTATCTTGGGCTCCCTTGGGGCCATCATGGCCGTGTTGCAAGCATCTTGGAGGCCATTTGGGCCGTCTTGGAGCCGATGGGGCCAACGAAGAACGAAATTTAGGAGCATTCCGGGTAACCGGCGGGCTGGGCCGAGATCCCACGGGGAGCTCATTTGAAAAACCCAAGCATTTGCCAGACGTTGGCACGCCGTGGACCCTTGTAGCAAGAAGACAGGGGGCGGCGGATTACGGAAAGCGCGCGCGTCAGTCGGGCGAAAATCAAGAGGGGGTGTGAGGGGGTTGGCCACAGAGGACCCAGATATGGCCCATTGTTCGGCCATGTTCGGCCCTAGACGGCCCAAGTCAGCCCCGAGAGCGTCCCAGAGGGCCCCAAGACGGCCAAAGACGACCCCAAGAGCGCCCCAGTTACCGCCGAGACGGCCTCAGGGAGGGCCCCAAGCCGGCCCGGGAGCGCTCAAAGAAGGCTCAACATGTCCCCAGGATGATCCACGAGGCCTCCATAAGGACGCCCCAGAGGCAAGCAGACGGCCTAAGACGGCCCCAAGAGCGCCCAAGTTACCGCCACGACGGCTTCAGGGAGGCCCAAAAGGTCCCCAAGGCGGCCCGAGAGCGCTCAAAGAGGGCCCAGGATGGCTTCAAAATAGCCAAACAGGCCCTCAAGACGCGCCACGGAGCTTCCACAAGGACGCCCCAGAGGCAACATTCGCCCCATTCCTTTTTGGAAAACGTGCATGTTCAGCAGATCTGCCCCGTTGGCCTTCTCATTGTCCACGACGGCCCAAGAGGGTTCCAAGACGGCCCAAGAGGGATCCAAGAGGGCACGAGAGATGCCCTTGAGGGCCACGAAAGGTCCCCAACAGAGCCCAACAAGAGCCTCAGGAGACCCCCAAGAAGGCCCCAGGGGGCCCCAAGACAGACCAAACTCCCCAAGACGGCCCCAGAGGGCCCCAAGACGACCCAAAGGAGCCCCTCAAACAACATTTGAAGAAGGCCCAGAGAGGCCACAATCAGGGATGTTCGCAGAGGTTGCTTGTTAGTTTGTTAGTTGACGTACCAACGTTTTAGCACCAAAGGAGATCCACGGCATTGAGCTAGCGATCTCGCGCCATCACAGAGTACGAGCGCGTTCCGCCCCCGTGCCAAGCAGGTCGTATGGCCTTCGGCCCATCCCGCCGCCGTGCTTGGGTTGTGGGTCTGCGCGCATCGTGGGTTGGGATGTCGTCGAGGCATATTGGGAGCCTCGTGGAGACAGTGTTGATGCCTCTGGTGGAGCTGCTTTGGGGCCCCTTTGGAGGCCTTTGGGGGGCCTCTTGGGGCCTCGTGGTGGCCTCTGATAGGCCTCTTGGGGCCTCCTGGGCGCCTCTTGGGGCACTCATGGACTGCCTTACCTTGGGGCCCTCTTGGGGGCCTCTTGGGGCGGTCTTAGGGGCCTCTTGGGGAGACTTGGAGCGTCGAAAGCTCGAAAAGTGGAGAACAACAAAAACTTAAATGGTGATGGCCTCGCAGGGCCCTCCTGGGAAGGCCCTCTCAGAGCTCTCTTGGGGCGTCTCGAAGGCTTACTGAGCCGTCGTGGGGCCATCTTGCGCGTCTTGGATTGGTCGTGCGGCGATTCGGGCACCATTGGACCGCCTGGGCGGCCTCTTGGGGCGGGCCCTCTTGGCCCATCTTGGGGCCCTCTCGGCGCCGAACAAATCATGCGGGAAAACTCGGGTGAGCCCACAGGGCACGCGAGAACCCCCGGCAGATTCAACAATTCGGGATCTGGACTCCCAGAATATCACGATGAAGGACTGAAGCTCCAGGGGGATTGGGCAAGGGACTTGAGGATACTCAATCTCGTGCCTCGAGGGCACGGTGGTGGATTGTGTGGACGGCGGAGAACTAGACCGGACGCCGATACGAGCCGTAATGGCAGCAGCGCAGGCGTGTAACTTTGTCGTCTAGCCTACGGTGGTCTCGACGTCAGCGGCTCGGCCGAGGCCGAAGTTGGGGCTCTGAGCACGGGCGGGGCTATAGTTCTACCGTGCCACTTCAAATGTCAAAAGTCCCGCCTTGGCTACCAGGCTGCGGTGCGAGTACAGAAGTTGTTGCCCAAGGTCCGCCAAGGTGTAGTTTGCGGCAGCCAGTCTAGCATAATTAGCCATCGTCAAAGAAGGAACAGTGTGTGTTGGAGGCTTCGAGCTTTCGAAGTTCCCTGGATATTTGCAAGTGTTACTTTGTTCGCCCGCTCGCGCTTTCAAATATCTGGACATGCGGGGAGGCTGGACTGTGCAGATCAGAAAGAGAAGATATACGAGGCAATGAACAGCTGGCCAGGTGGAAGAGGGCGATTGGAGGTTAGCGCGAGAGGGAGGGAGACGGGGCGGGAGGAAGGCAGGGGTAAATGCAGACGGGGGGGGAGGGCAGAGAGAGAGGGGGCGGCATGATAGGCAGAGGTTCCTCCTCATCCTCACTGTTTTCATCCTCCTCCTCC